AGATAGATAGAGAGAGAGAGAGAGAGAGAGAGAGAGAGAAAGGGGGGGAAGCGAAAGGCGAAGAGGAAAGAGACACCCGCGGCCTCTTCTCTCGCATTTGCCACCGGCGAAACAATTCTTCAACGGGACAATCAAGTACTAAATTCGTGGCGCCAGCCGGCCGCCCGCTGTATATCCGGCGTTGTTCAACTAGTTCGCCAAGGTGATGCCAACTCGTAAACGTGGACGTCCGTTGTCTCGATGATCGTATCGACGCTTGATTAATACGGATCAACGATGATGTCACTTCTCACGTGCAGTGTAGTATCGACTCCTCGTAAACGGATTAATTGTAGTTAATAACGTACGAGAGATTTCGCATCGGAATTTCTCATATTCGCGGCAGTAAAAGTTGCATAAAAATAAAAATTGTATAAACGTCATAAAAGTTTTAATAACATTACAAACAGGTAGAATGTTAACTCTCTAACGCGACAAATGACTAGTCCGCGTTATTTTTGTGAATATTCACTCATTTAATCCACCTATTGAAGGATGAGACGTCTTTATTGCTCGAAATGCACGTTAGATGCATAGATAGAAACTCACTCACCGAAAAATAAATGGACATAAGGCCTGTGAAGAATTGGACACATTTCACATTAGAGGTTTTACTTTTTGTGGGCACCAGGTCATAAAAATTTTCATTATGGAAACAAACCATAAAATGCGAACAAACTCGAATGTGTGTGTTTCTAGTTTGTCACTTTCCCACAGGCAACTAAAAAAATTACATGCGGTCAATAAGAATACCGGAATCCTTGAAAATTGCTGAAAGAAATCAAAACGTCTTAATCACAAAATAATAATAGAAAAATAATAGAAAATAACATTGTTCCAAGTACCTGTTTAGTTATATCACATAATGGACCCGTCGTGATTTACACTCAACTTTTTGAAGTCCTCAAGAAACTTTAGCCGATTGTCATGACCTTATAATTTTCGTCGTCACACTTTCACCCTCGTTATTCTCCTGCTGCTTTCGACTGTCCCTTTTTTCCTTCTCGCAGGCAGAGGGTACCGTGCAGCTTTTCACACGCCTGCGTCGCTGCCGTATTCGCAGTATGAGAGTAAGCAATTTTCTCCTGAAGATAGAACGGCCCTGGGACGTACTCGGTGCTCCAGGGAGAACGTACGACGATGCGAGCGAGTGAGTGAGTATGATTGATGCGGTTTGTCGGTCTCGCCTGACGTCCAACATCTCGTCTCGCGTCACGCTCGCGGATACTTACGCCCCAGACGACGACACTCTCGGTAGTACACCCCGGCTACACCTTGCGCATTCGGCCGCGGCTGAACTACCCTGCAACCGCTGCGCCTCGATTTCCCAGCGTACGCGCGCAGAATGATCTACCGAGAGACGCGAAGCACCGTCTCCTCGGGAAATTTAGTTAAGCTTTTCCCAGTTATATGCACTACCGCGGAACTTTTTTAAGAGAAGGAGAGATGGTGTACCTCGAAGGCGACCGGGTCGACGCGGTGAACTTAATAAATGGATGACACATGCAGTTAATGCGCGTCGTCTCGAGCTTTACATAAATACTCGTGGTTATTAAAAAGCAGAAGTAACTCGCATCATGCAACTTCGCAGTTTAACGGGACGCAGCGTATGGTAGGTATATTGAATTACGCGTGAAAGTCAAGATCAAACAGCGCTCAAGATGAGTTATTTATAGAATATCGAAAGCGCACATTAAGGAAAAAATGTTTGGTATTTGTAACCATATAGTGAAAAAATTATAATCAGCGGAATCACTTCTGTATTAAGTGTTGTTGTAGAGTTAGCGATAATAACCTTATATATATATATATTGCTACTACGCGCAGAAAATATCATTCTACTATTAAAAAAAGGCGATTAATCATAAAAGCCACTAGTTCATAAAAATTTTCATTGTGGATAAAATGCGAATAAACCCGAATATGTGTGCTTCGAATTTGCCACTTTCCCACATTTTATGTTCACAGGCAACTAAAAAAATTATATGCGGCCGATAAGAATATCAGGATTCTTTAAAAGTGCTGAAAATCGTTTTAGTCGCAAAGAAATATGGAAAATAACATTGTTCCAAGTATCTGTTTAATTATACATCATAATAGACTCGTCGTGATTTATACTCAACTTCTTGAAGTCCGCAAAAAACTCTACCATAGTAAAAGTTGTGTAAAAATAAAAATTATATACATGTCATAAAAATTTTAATAACAGTACAAACAAGTGTTGTAAATTAACTCTCAAATGTGACAAATGATGCGTTGCTTCTGCAAATGCTCACCCACTTAATCTATTCACTGAAGAGTGAAATGTTTTTATTGTTCGGAATGCATTTTATTATTGTTAGAAATGGATGGAAATTCACTCATCAAAACATAAATGTACATAAAATCTGAAGAATTGAACATATTTTACATTAGACGTTTGACTTTCCATAAACAGCAGGTCATGAAAATTTTCATTGTAAACCACAAACCATAAAATGCTAACAAATCCGAATGTGTGTGCTTCGAGTTTGTTATTTTCCCACATGTTATGTTTACAGGCAAATAAAAACATTACATGCGGTCGACAAGAATACCGGAATCCTTGAAAATTGCTGAAAAAATATATCCGATTGAACTTTTCTTATTTGCATCTGCGATATTAAAATTTCCCTTGGATGATTTCACAACTGACATCGCAAAAATAAACGCACGAAATATGAGTGGCCGTGGAGACGCGTGACGCAAGGAGAATCACATGAGCGCAATAACTGCGCACTCTTGCGAATTTCGTCTCGCACGAAATCGATGCGTTCTTCATATCTCTCGGGTCGGGGCGGTATTCTATAATCGAATCATAATCTCGTTCTTTATCGAGCCGAACGACGAAGGGTGGGAGAAGTGCAACGAGTTGACGCAGCAGTGATGAATGCAACCGGAGGATCTTTAATGCGCCTCATGTGCGCCGGATATGAAAAGCAAAAAGAAGATGATAGGTACAATGGCATCGCGGATATTTCTGGCAAACGAAAAGTTAAGTCCGTTGCACACAACCTTATCGGGATATGCGACGTGTCATTGCACCGAAAATTCTGGATTATCGGATGGAAGTCGCGTCAGTTTGGACAACACCGTCGCCGTTTCGGCGACGTGTTAAAACGCTAAAACTGTTTGAGGCGCTTGATAAACTTTATTACCCGATATCGCGCCGGATTTACGCCCTTCGCGGGTATCACAAAAAGCGTCTGACGCTCCTATCGGGGATACATTCAATTTTTTATAAAAATTAAAGATAAAATAACTGTTCTATCTATATTTACGCAACAAAGAGCGGTCGCAAAAAATGTATATTTTCACAAATCTTTACGGATTATTTGTATTAATATAATCGAAGCGAGCAATTATTTTAACGCGCCTTCCAATTACATAATGATGAAAAACTATAGTTGTTTACTACGCCAACTACATCTTTTTATTATTTTTTTGACAAAAAGATAATAATAGCAATATATATATAATGTTATTATCATTAACATTATAGTAACACTTAATACAAAAATGCTTTTTTTATGTTTGATAGTTATATTTCTTTCACTATGTGATTATACATTGAGAGAAAATAAGCGATTGATCTAACTAAAATTATAGTTATTTTTGATCAACTAATCATATTTTTTGCTTGTTTTAACAAGAAAGTGATAATATGCAGAGGTTATTATCACCAACATTATAGCAGAATTTAATCTAAAAAATGGCTTTCTCGACCATATTTATAGTAATTATTTCTTTATGTAATTATAATTATAAATATTACATATTTTTCCTTTAGTGTAGTCACAAATACCAAGCATTTTCCCCTCAGTACTTTTTCTCATGCCAAATCTGCGAAACTGTCCAAAATACGTTTTTCCACGCGAGTTAATTACTACGGTATTATTGCATTTTATCGCGTTCTTTCTGAGCATATAGTTCAGAGCTCGGAATTAGTTGCCCACTTCGGCCGATTCTCGGGAGTTACGCCTTCTATCTTCCCTTTGTCGCAAGCGAGCCACGCAAGTGACGGTCGCGGCTCCAAGCTTAAAGCCGCGACTGGTCGCGATCGTCATTTGCGTGGCCCGCTCGCGACAAGGGGAAGATAGGAGGCGTAACTCCTGAGAATCGGCCGAAATGGACAACTAATTTCAAGCTCTGATATAGTTGGTTCTCCGTTCTTTAAGTTTTGTTGCGCGTCTCTCAAAGCAAAATATTACCCAGAAACACAGAACTCTTTTAAGGAACGTACGTGATCTAAATACTCCTCGGGCAACCACCAGTAAGCGTTTCATCTCTTTCGAAATCTCGCCTAGCGAGAAATATCAGAAATCATCCCCCACGGCCGTAAAAACGCAAGCACTCTACCGGTCCGCCTAAATTTTCTAAGATGCTCGCTCGTTGCCGCCAGCATCTACCTTCGCGGCGGTGAAGGACGGGCGGCGTACGTGCACGTACGTCCAAGTGTGCGAGGGCAGCGCGCAAATATCAATCAGTGGAGTCAAGAGTGGAATCAGGGTGGCCGAGTGGTTCCACATAATGCTGCAACCGGAGGTGAGAGAGAGCGTAGCGCAACGTGTGTTTCGTGTTCGGTGCAGTTCGGCCGCACACGCAGACACGTCTATAAAACGCACTCATACAGAAGTGCGGATCCCCATCAGCAACCCCACTGCGACGTCTGAGCAACGGCGTTCAGTAGCGCCGCAACCCCACTTTTCTGCAGGATCGACGCGTCGTTCGTGTGTTGGTGCGTTAGTGAACACACCAAACAGCCTGGTATTGGTGTGGGTGGAGTAGAAATTGTGAGGGCGTGTCTGGGAGGCGGAGCCTATGACTAAAATCTTGGTGTGTATCGAGCGTCCGTGTGGATGTTCTCCCTCTTTGTGTGAACACCGACAGTGGGAATGTCGTTCGTGTAGATCTCTCCATCTCACTCCTACCCCGAGTCTGCCGCTCTCCGGCCGTCATCGCATGAGAGTCCCTCCACTATCAGACCCGTTAACAGCAGTCGACGTCGAGGCACCCGCACTAACGGCTAACGTCTCTCACATCCCCGGGCTTGAGCCGGTGCTCGCCGTTCCCGACCTGTCCTGCCCGGCCGATGGACCGCACGGAAATCAGTGTCGCTGACAACCGGAAGCCCTTCTTGCGCGACACGTATTCACTGTCGCGAGGTCGGCAGGAGCTGTCCTGTGAGGACCCGTCCAGGTGTTGACGAATCGCGATCAGCAGGCAGCCCCGAGTGTCTTCCTGACTGTGACCACGAAGGAACTTCTAGTGCTTGTGCTGAGTACGCTTCTTTGAGGGTGACTGATATCGACAGCTCTTGGAAGAATGAAGTCCGCGAATAGATAGTTTTCCATTAAACTCGCTCTATTGATTGTGCATATTGCCGTTTAAGAAGAGAATCTCCTTCTTGGGGAAACAGCCGCCGTCTCGTAACTAAATTCACTGTTTTTGAAAACGCGTCATTCACTTAAGACGTGAGGAATCCGCAAAAACAGGACCACTTTGAGAGGACTCTCATCGGACAATTTCATTGAAAGTCGTAAGATTACGGAAAATCGTGCATATTGGTTTATTATTGAGGAAACGTAAGGACCGTAAGCGTGGTGCTGAGGAACGTGGGGGAGGATGCGAATGTCGTGTGCAGTGACGCGGAAGTTGTAAGAGGGTGAATAGACTCGAGGTCCAGGATGATGGAAGTGCAGCAACAACACTCGCCTGTCGGGGTGGGTCCGCTGGATTTTTCCAGACGGGGGGTTGCCGAAGCGTCAGCGTTTCGGGTTGTCAAGCCCAAACAGCCGGCTTCGTCGCTCGTGCACCAGCAACCGCTGCCGCCGGAAACTAACAACAATGAGAATCTTCAAGAGAATCCGCAGATATCCATTGACGCTGAAGGTAAGAATGATTAAACAATCCTACGTTGATCTATTAGTGATCATAACAGTGATGGCAAATATTATCTCCAGCAAATTTTAACTTTTTGACCCGAACATCTTGCTTCTTTGTTACTTTGATAACCTTGATATTATCATTAAAAAGAACCAATGAAGTTGGAACAAATTAATACATTTACTGCTCAACTAACGGTAACTTCTCTATTTACACTAATAGTACTACGTTAAAGATAATGATATTAACACAATATATAATAATTTGAGTTTCTGAGTTGGATAAAATGCTGCAATATTCGAACACAGAATAAAGTTAATACTATTCGTTAAGTAAAAATTATCAATCAAGGAGGAGATTTTTTCACTTGATTTCACAAAAGTGTAAAAAAGTATGCAACACGTCACGTGCATTGTTCTCTCAAAGTTCCAAATTACACTTCACTCTCTCGCTGGTTATATGCACGTTATATATACGTTATTTGCTGGTTATATGAGCTTATGGGTGGCGCATTATCGCAATTAAAAACTCGATCCTCGCCAATTACCCCAACCGGGAACACCCCGCACAAACCGATCGAGCCCGTGGCGGATGCGGCTACACACACCCGTCGGCATTCCCCGCGTAGAGAAAGCGTATATTCGAAATAATCAACTGAAACGCATATCGCGCGCTCAGCCTTTGACGTCCCTCCGGCTGACACTCGCTGACGAGGCGCCCCCGACACTCACCCCCTGCCATCTCTCGTCTGTCATCATCCTACCTATTACCTGCCTATTATCCCAGCGGCGTGGCGTTTACGCGGTAGCTTCCGGGCTCGCACCGACACCTGAGCTTGCGCCACGTATACGCGTGCGAATCGCGCGGGGAGCGAGGCACGCGGCGCCCGGAGCGCACGCACGCACGCACGCACGAACACACGCGCGTACAGGTGCGTAGGGGCCGCCGTGCACAACGGCCCGTTCAACAGGTGAGAGGGGATGGTTGGCGGCATTAGATGGCTGCCTATACTAATACCCTGCTACTAATCGCGGTAACAGGCTAAACGCAATAATATCGAGCCATAGACGTTGAGCTGAGCGGTTTAAGCGATAATTGCCAGGTGATAGGCAGCTCGTCGACAGGGTTCACTGCTCTTCTTCCGCCGTCTGTAGCCGCCGACACATGCTTGGCCCTCGTGTGTGCACATAAGTTGAGAAAAAACGGATATCTCTTTGGTTTACACTCGGAGAAAAGACATGGCGGTGGCGACTATATTGGCAACAATTATACGAATTTAGCATGTACAGTAAGGGAAAATCGGGTTAGTCTCACTAAAAATTATTTTTCTAACTGTATCTCCTTGTTGTTCTGACAGGAAAGTAAAAGTAGCAATATATATGTATGATTATTATTACTAATGCTATAGTATATAACACTTACTATAAAAATATTTCTTCGTATAATTCTCCTTATAATAAGTGTTATTATAATTCTTTATGTAAGTTTTAAAAGTTATATAAATCTCCTTATAATTCTTTTATTATACGATTGTATAATGATAAATACCGAACATTTCTTTTTTAGCGTAGAATTAATATATATAGTTAATTAAATAAACTATTTTGCAGTTATTGTAACTGAAGCTTGGTTACGAGTAATATAAAGTATTATAAAGTAACTATGTTAATTGCAATAACTACACTGAGAAAGAAAATATATCTGATAAAATAAATGTTTATATAATCTGAAAATATATCTGAGAAAATATATCTGATAAAATAAATGTTTATTCGGTGGATACTATAGTACTATATATTTACTTTTTTATACTAATATATAAAATATTTTATAGATATTCAAATAAGAAAAAATATATTTTTGTAAAATCTTAAGAAAACATTAGTTTTTAGTGAAAAGCAATTGTTTATTTTATTTAAATACAAAAATGTAGATTTATGTAAATATGTTATTGGTACCTATCAAATAAACATTTATTATTTTTTATTAATTCTTAAAATTATACTTTTCTCTAAGTATACACATACACACGCACACGCACATACACAAAATAGCTCATTAAACTATATCACATTAATTTCACATATAAAACTAGTGTAATTGTCACCTGTACAGTTGCCATCACCATGTTTCTTTTTCTGAGTGAGCATATGTGTGAAAAATTATCGATAGCTACTGTTAATTGCACAAATATTTTCCATCGATCGTACCACCACAGTCTTTCGTATTTCTCGTACGTGTAATGTGTACAATGTTACTCTTCAATGTCCGGCGTACGTTGTCTATCCTCTTCCTCATTCAATCACGTGGAATTCTTTCGCCTCAATTTGGGTATCACGCTCGACTCGATCCTCCCGATCTTAAAAACGACTGAGGGCTTGTCGATCGACCGCAGCTGCATTCGTCGGTGGTTTCCACGGTAAATCACGCTGGCTTTACCGTTTTATAGATTTACGACCGGACGATAGCGCGAAACGGACTACGCAGGATAAGCGACGCGCGAGCAAACGGCACCGATATCGCGCCGATGCTCTCGCTGGCTGACAAACACGCGTTACCTGCATTGTGTATACACACGTATCGATGTTGTTATACCCAACCACCTTATCTCGAGAGCGCGCGGCGTGTTCGCTATATAGGAAAATATGATTTATTTCTGATAATCCTACGAGAATGAGACAGTCTTTGCGGCACGGAGCGTCTAATCTCTTCGCGCTATCTCAGATTATCCCGGACGGTCCTATATTGCAGGGATTACGGATTTCTCTCGTGTTTTCCTTTTTTTTTCGTCGGTTCTCAGTATAACCGACCCGCCGGCGGTTCGTCACCTATCGATACAATCGATCTTTGCGATTCGACGGCGATCACTACAAGAGTAATATTTGCGAAGATGCATTATGCCGTGTGAATGATGAATTTATTATTTAAAAGATAAATTTTATAACGATAAATAAAACAATATATTTTTATTTCTCAATTCTTTATGACTCCGAAATCATAAGTCGGCCTTTTATCTTTGTGCAATTAATTTCATTTATCATTGACTATAATATGGAACTGTTTTGATCAATCATTGATATATTTTAATTTTGATGTGTGACTGTCCTCGATAACTTTGATGTCATTACTAAAATAAGTTTGAACTTGATTTAAAGATAGAATATTCGCGCGATTCGTGTAATCAAAATGCACACACACACATAGATAAATATCTATTATTATTAAAATAGAACATTGTGGCATATGCTATATTTCACTCCGATTCAATAATATCACTTATCGTGGGGTTGTAAAATTTTATTTCACCTTTCATTTTTCATTAATAGTATTTTTTCTATCCTTATTCGATAGTGAAATGAAGCGTCGTTGAATGACGCATACTATACCGATATAGAAGAAGATAGAACTGATTTAGCGCGATCAAGTAGAACGATTAGATAGACTCTGGATTGCGCTCATCGTCGTAAAGCTCGGATTTGATGATATTTTATCGCGTCTATATGAAAAAAGGCCAACATGGATTACGGCACGTTCGTTTGTCGGCCGAACCGCAACTTTTCTGGACTATCGCGATTGATTCCCCATCGCTATGGTTGCAGATTTTATTGAGCGTCTACGACGATGTATTATTTTGATATCGGAAGTTGCTAACTCCTGTGTTATTGAGCAATAAAAGCAATAATACTTGCGTATGTCAGTAATCCGGAGCTTAATGAGCTTCAACGTAAACTGTATACAATATATTGGATCATCGATTTTATCAATTGTAACTGTTTCACACTCGGACGACTATTTGTTGACAATGTGGAAAAATTGCTGCAAACGAGTAATCCGATCTGTTGTAATTTTTCTGATACGGTAATATGTAATTGCTCTGATTGTAGATAGATGTGTCGCATAATTCTTCATATTCCGTGCGTTAAGCGAAGGGCAAGGATTCCGTACGTTCTGATTAATCGTCGGAGTAGCGATTTGGCGTGAAATTCGAACTTTGATGCTCCACCAGGACGATCAAAGAAACCAACCAGGATAGATGGCGAATGTTCGGGGCTAGGAATGCAGGTTTCGGGGAGAAAGAGAGCGAGTAATGGCCGGAGCAAGGTTGATAAATAGAGGAGGGTTTCTCCTCCTTTCTAATAAAGACGCTCTTGTCGAGGGGTTGATCTTTCCTACGAACCAGGAATACTAAATTTGTCAGGACTTGAGACGTCACTGCTGCGTTAGTGGTTGGCGGAGTAACGATGCATAAACGATTGGGAAAAATGCGCGATCCTTTCGCCGTTTGCATCGCCATCTTTTCGTATCGGATTTCGCGTATATATCTCGGGTATATTTACTATCTGGAAGAAAAACTTGAGAAACTTAGAATTCTCTGAGAATTCTATCGGAATTCAGGGAATTTCAATGAATTGATGTTCTATAAAATCAATAATACTTTATCTAACACACACAAGTGTCATTTCATATCTTCAGCTACTTCTTTTAATTCAATAAATTTTATAATATATATTTTATAATATATATATATATATATATATATATATATATATATATATATATATATATATATATGTTCGTTTTGTGTACAAGAAATTTGATAATATTATGACATTTTTCTTTTGTTTCAGGAGGCTGCAATGTTCGTTTAATGTTTCCGAGACTGTGGGCACCTTTCGGGAATGCCACGGAAGTCACAAACTTACCACCTTTACCAAAGAGTCACTCAGGTATGTGCGCTGTAGGGAGTCTATAATCCACTTTATCGATAAGTTTGCGTATCCAATCGAATTAGATCGCGATACTGTAAAAAATCTTTCGTGGTACTGTAAAAAATCTCTTGACGTCGAACTTAGCGCATCTGTGCACCCTCGATTTTCCGACACATCAGAGGAGGGATAAATCTGGATGCTCCACTATGTAATAATTCATATCTTTTTAAGTATGTCCCCATGAAAGAAAGATCGGAAATAAGAGAAAATATCACATAAACACATTTATTTTAAAGATAGTTAAAAGGATTTGACTTTAAATTCCACATATTTTATTGACTAAAAAATTTGTCCTTCTTCCACGAAGAGAATAATTGACTTTTCTCTTTTAAATATTATTAATTTTTCTATCGTTAATTCGAGATATTTCAAGAAACTGCTACGTTCGTCGCGTTTGGAATTTACAATCTACTGTACTCTCTCTTTTGCTTGCACTGTTTGTTTCTCGCTTCTCTCCGAAAGGTGTAGACGCGCGGGTGTAGCGCCGACCTTTCGCCCCCGATGATGGCTTCCTCCTCGAGCCCGGATGACGGCGAGTTTTTATTTGCTGATCATTAAGAACGACCGGTCGTCCGACGATTGGGATAAATGGTAGCACGCGTCATACCGCGGACGGACATGGGCCTTTCTAACTCCTGCCGGTCCAATTGGAGCAGATTAGAGGCGCGGGCACAGGGATTCGGGCCGTCGGCCCCTTTGTACTCGTACCTACTCTGAATTAGTAACATCTTGTCATGTTAAACGCCCGTGCATACTCTTCCTACTCCTCCCGTGTGCGCGCGTGCACGTGGCCATTCATCTGCCCATCTTCGTTCTCGGCGCGATAAGATCGGTCGCGATACTTTTATCGTCGCTCTTCCATCACCAGCTCCGTTCCTTCAAGATTCGCGGCGTGCAAACATGGTGCTCGCTTAGCAATTTCGCGTTATTATTTACATGGATTATTGACTCTATCAATACTGCATTATTGTATACAAGATAGAGGGAGAATATTATCAGAAAAGCTATTTTAAGATAAGAAAGATGATAAAATGATCGGTCATCGCCAAAATGTATAGCATTGATGAAGTGGAAATCTTCAATAAATTCAGATTATTAATTATTGATTTTAATATTTACGTATAACAAACAAACGTTAATTTTATTTATTGCATTTGAAATCATGAAATAAATAAATTGCATGATCCAATTAAGAAATAAAGTAATTAAAAATTACGTATTGTAGCAAGTGTATACGGAGAAAATGTAATAAAAATTATGTTGAAATTATACAGTATTTTTGCTGAAATACATTAAAATTGTAGTATAAATTACCATAGATATAACAAAAATTTGTCGATCTACGATAACCTAACCTTCACGTTATTATAATAATTTTATAGTAAAAGGTTAAACGTGCATAACATTTTTACACGAACATATAATAAATTATATTAAAATTATATACTTACAATGTTATTTTATTATTATTTATTATTATTTATAACATAGTAATTTCGGTTATGATCCTGCATGATCCAAGATTACAAAAATTTTGTTTTAATTTTCCCTACAATATTTTCTCCTTATATAATGAGAAATATGTTTTCCGCGTATCATGAGACGGATATGTTTAGTAATTACTTTTGCTATCAGTATAATCTACCATCTTCATTTAATCTAACCTCTATTTAGGTTAAAATCTTTTCTGTAATTACTTTCTCTATGTATGCACCTTTAATATCGCATCCTTCATGACAAGATTAGTTTGAAACGGACAGTCGGATAAAAATCCGTTTTTAAAAACCCACATCGTGCTGTCACTCGGCTTTACTGACACCGCCGATGCAACAAAGATCGCGCTTTTATTCTTTTTCATGAGCCGGCTTCATAGAAGGGGCTTGAATGTGAAGTGTGTAACGGCTTTAATAGCGGTAGATCGCTACGCAGTAAACGACTGACGGACGACAGAAGATTAAAGTTGGCCGTTAACTCGATCTAATTGTCCCCCCGACTTGGCCTTCCTTTATTAATCCACGTCTACAACCATCTTCGGCATCGTCGTCATCCCCTTGTCACGAACCGGTCTGCCGATTCGCCGCATGAAACGTATACACGCTGAAATCGTCTTGAATTGAGTTTACTCATTAAAAAAAATTCCACATATCGATTAAACGCGCGTGTCGAAATTTTATTTTCCAAGCATTTGCACAAGCGAAGTATTCCTTCATTTCAAAGTATCTGTTTAATATATATATATATATATATATATATATATATATATATATATATATATATATATATATATATACACACACAGGGTGTTCTCAACCGACAAACTTTGAAAGATTGTTGGGGACACTCTAAATAATGGACTTTAGGTTGGAAATGGGTCGTTTCATCGCTACGGGGTGTTTGAAAAAAGTCGGGCTCTTGAAATATCTAAATATAAGTTTTATAAAACCATCCAAGGTCAAACTCATAAAGCTCAGTACATGAATCTTTTTACAACTTTTGTGTCTGAAACAATTTTTTATAAAACATATTTTTTTAGATATTTCGAGGTTTCGACCTTTTACGAACATCCCGTATGTCGTAGCGATAAAACGATCCATTTCCGACCCCAAATTCATTTGCAAAAAAAATGATCCTTAGGATGTTCCCAACAATTTCTCAATGACAAATAAACTTATATCCCGAGTCGAAATTTTTATTCTACTTTTAGCCTTACTATTCTATTCAATACTTACTTTGATACTCTGAAACCTATAATCTTTCTTGATTCTATTTAACTCATTCGAGTCGAAATATTGATTCTATTTTCAGGCTCATTATTCCATTCAATACCTATTTTGACGCTAAAAAAAGTGAAAGGAGAAATTTCAGACATCATCAGAGTTAAAATAGGGGTAAATTGTATCATTAGAATTAAACCTACTTTACTAACTTAGCTTTAACTGTATATTGTAGAATTCAAGATTTAACATAAGACCAGAATTTCGAGTCGGGATCATTTATGGTAATGCGCAAGAGTCCGCGCATTTCTAACGAACAATGAGATGACAAGTTCTGCCGCCAGATCATCTACTAGCGTTCACATGATAGCTACACTCTGCAAACTTTGTCTCGCTCATCCCGCAAGCAACTCCGAGCACTTTGCGCAAACATGGCGAGCTATGATACGTGTCGATGGTGGCGGTGGCTGCCGTGACAAAAACAGTTTTCAAGTCGATTCAAGAAGTTTCATTCACTGTATCAAGGCTGGAAGCCACTACGGACCACGTGAGATGCGTCGCGGTGCAGTTCTGGATGCACGTGTGCACGTCTAACGCAGACTCCGTCAAACCCGGACCAAAGTTAACCCATCTGCCGGACGGTCGCGAGGCGTTTTTCTCGTCGGTTCGCGCTGCCCGTTTTTAGTACATTCCAGTCGACCCAGACGCGGCATTTGCGTAAGCAGTTCTTCCTACCTCGCTGCGAGTCACATCTGTCCGGACTTCCTTCTCCTTTTTGCTCATTCTCGTCTCGATCCTCTCCCTACCACCCTCCCGACGACATTGCGTGAACTCAATTATTATCGTAATCACAAAGCGACTTGATCAAATCATTTTCGTGATTTTTAGCAATGCGTCGAGATAGTAGTTGTAAATAGATCTCTCGCTGCATTTATATGCTTGTGCTTGGAGAACACTGCAGATTAATCAATTCGGTTTTTAACATTGCTTTTAAACTAACCACGATTCTATCACATTAATTCCCACCTTATTAACGAAAGAATAACGCTTTGATTTTATAAAATTTACCGTCTTACGTTTGAACAATTAATTATTAAATTACAAAAAACAGAAGAGAAAAGTTTCAACTCAGTCGTTTTATTATAACAGAACGTATTAATGTACATATTAAAACAAAGTCAACCTCAACGAAATATTCCTAAGGCTTAGTCAGCGTACTAATACGATTAATAGACTTAAATTTTCCATACGATGTTCCATGTAACGCAACAAAGAGGAGATAATTCAATCTCAAGTTTCTAGTGAACACATTAAGTTCAAATGACTTAAGTAATAATGGACTTGATAAATAATTGTTCTACAACTTATACAAAAATAAAAGGTCTGCTAAAGTTTTTCTATTTTCCAGTGATAACACATATCAAGATCCGCGAATATCGGTTGATAATTATGACATGTCTTTAACATTGGTCTGCTTACATAAAAATTTACGCGGCGAAGGAATCTACGCTTAATTTTTATTTTAATATATTTTATTTTTATTAAAACGTAATAATTTCTTCGATATAGAGATCAAAATATCGAACCATGCTACAGAGAGGCTCCGTACTAATAAAGTAATATATAAGTCGCTGAGGCACTATCATACGTGAATTCTGAATTTAGGATAACACGATTTCAAGTATGTCTCGGTAAAGAAAATAAAGAAGAAAATAAAGTGAGATATAACGGCTGTAATTTCATTAGCCCCTCCTTTTGTCTTTTTTCGTATTTTTAACTCGGTACAGTAAAGCACCTATCTGTCTCCTCGGACAGATCCCCGCAGGCGTGAGCGTTTCTCATTACATTAGGCCACTCTGACTCGAGTCATATTTTGATTCGATTGCAAAGCCACCAGGAGACACGATAATAATCGACCCCAACGACGGGGCTCGCGGAGAGCTTTAAATGCGATTAACCGACACCGGTGCAGCGTACAGCTCGGCACGTGACTGCGTGTCGCGCGCACGGATTATAAATATAATATACTGGCTGTGTGCAAGACGCAATATGAATGAGCAGGTCCGAAATTACCGGGTATTCGAGGGTTCGTGAAATAGAGCCGAGAGCGCCCTTCTTTCCCTCAAGACGCGTATCCGTTTTGCCGGGCCTATTGCCGCTGTAAATCAATCTATGCGCGACAATCTATGTGAATCTCTTTCTCTCCTTCTCTCTCCCTCTCTCTCGTGATTATTAGAAATGCCGCGGGTAGTTTCCTGATACACTCGACTTCAAATCAGGGCGATTAGAGCATTAGGATCTTCATTTAGGCTCGTTTGTATTTACTTAAAATAAGAATTTTGTGCAACAAAGGTCCGCTTGTGATTTGTCGGTAAAAAAATATCTCTTAGTTGTGCTTATGTAATTAAGTTACTATTAATTTAAGACGGAATTTCTTTTTTTAATTACTACTGTTGGCAAATGTTGTTTCCGCGATATTCGGAATACCTGGAGATGTGCTCATTGAATACAATGCGACAGGCCCATCATACATCATGCGATCCAGATAATCATATCTTGAAATCAAATCTCGATTTCTCCAAACTTTTTCATCACACACGCGTGCAAATCTATGTTACGATGATAACAGAGAACAGAGTAAACACATTCCGCTGGCACGATCTAACAAATACATCAAAATTCGCGACTGAATCACTTTTCATTTGAGCCGCGCGACAGATAATATGATGTGGACGTACAAATCAAAGCTTCGTCAGGAATCATCGATTTGATAATCAGAGGACGCAGTAAATTCCGATTGACGCGCGATACCGAAATTGCGATCTGATGCCGTTTGTGTCTCTCGCCTTCTTTCTCTCTCTCTCTCTCTCTCTCTCTCTCTCTCTCTCTCTCTCTCTCTCTCTCTCTCTCTCTTTTTCTCTCTCTCGATATTACTACGAAAATATTAATTTAATATTCCAATAATGATAAAAGCTTAATTCCCCGTCATAAATTAATTAATCATGGAACGTTAGAGCTATAATTCATCACTACGTGACACGTTATACAGTAGCTAATCACATTAATATCTAACGATAAATAGCGACGACGTGATAAAATTGTTACCATCAATCTATTATTCCATTCTATAACCATTCGGCCATGCGAAGGTGTGGTTAAAGAGTTTAATTCAGCTAGGCACATTATTCACCCTCGTCTTATCACACTCAAGAGTAATTTCATTTCACCGCGCTGTTAACGGTTAATCACGACTCATGACACTCCGGCGGATGAAAAATTCCGAAAGAGCGCGCGAAGGGATCTTATTAAGGACACTGCTTCACGAAACGTCGCGAAAGTACATTTCGCTCTCGGCGCCTCACTATTCGGTTCTCTCCTCGCGATGCCTCGTTAACGCAACATGAGACCCTGTCACGACCTCTCGTGCCCTGCCCGTCCCTTAAACACCCTCGCGCCAGCACGCTAGGAAAAAAAGGCCCAGTACGTGACTCAAATCTCATTCCTGGTCCTCGGGTCTTTCTGCCAGAAGAAACTGTATTTACCCGCGGCTTTTCTCCTTTGGATTCCTCCGTATCCGGCGTTCCACGTGCACTTCATACGTGACGTAGCCGCCGTCCAGTCATTGGCCATCTTGGTCTCGTGACTGGTGTATGAACTCTGGTTTATCGATTACGAAATGTCTACCTGTGCGGAGGTGCAAAATCCATAGGCGTGATTCGGTCATCGACCGGGCTCTCGTGGAGTCTCTAACGATTTGTTAGTTCACAATATAAAGTCTATTAAGTATGAAGAAAACTGTTATAGTTATCATATCCGCATTCTCTGTGATTAAAGAAAAAATTTATAAGATATTGCATTAAAAATTGTTACATGTCCATCTATGCAGTTCTCACAGTCGCAGTTCTTATGAAATGTTCAGATATAGTTCTCATATATAGTTGCCTCAATTGAAGGAATATTGTTGTTTTTCTGTGCGGTCTGCAGAACAAATTCTATATAAAAATCTGTACGGTTTGGTCATATAGCACTAACAATACCGCTCAAACAGGCAATGACAGGCAGACAAGAAAACCAAAATGTACTACTTCTAGAGAATATTATAGTTACTATAACCATTTTGTATACATGGGCGTGAAATAACACAAATATTTTGTTGTGGCAACCACATTTAAGCAAGTAACATCCTGAGCGTTTTCCCCATGAGTGGGTTCTTTTCGTATTATAAACGATTGATTCTTCAGACACCATCCTGCTACAATTAATCACTATTAAACGCTTCATTACAGAGCGGCTATCCTTTGGAGTGGGTCGTCTGGTGGGTTCACCGGCGACGAGGAGTCCTTCGCCGTCGCAGTCTCCCTGCCCGGACTCTCCCCCATCCGAACGCCGGGACGCCGAGATAGACGTCGACGTCGAGGAGGAGGTTGACGTGGACGTCGAGGAAGTCGGCGACGAGGATGACCACGAGGATACTTCGAGTCCACCGCGATCGTCGTCCACGCCGTCGCCGTCGCCCGTGAGCGTCGCGACGTCGCCCGTGTCGCATCCCCCGAAGAGATCCGGCGATAGCTTCAGCGTATCGGCTCTCCTTAGGCCGGATCCACCCTCCGCTCACGTCCAGAACGCATCTCCGCACAGAGACACCACCGCCATGGGCGCTCATCCGCCGCCACCCGGCTCGTCCATCCTCTATCCGCCGTTGCACCTTCAGAGCGGACTCCTGCCACCTCACCCACACCATCCCCTTTCGTACCTGCACCCCCAGCTGCTGCCGCATCATCTTCTGCCGCCGCACCTGCACCCGTTGCTGCGCGGCGTTCATCCGGGTCACCCGGGACTGCACTCGACACACACGGCGCACGGGCTGCACCATCCCCATCCGCTCGGCGACGTTTACAGCTGTGTCAAGTGCGACAAGATGTTCAGCACGCCGCATGGGCTCGAGGTACGTATGCGTGCGAGCTCGACGCGTGCTCTTTTTATTTAGAGACGCGCAGCATTCTCGCCGGTCCGCGAGCTTGTTTTGATTCATTTCTGATTTGTACGCTGTCGGCACGGTGAGATCCGCTTGCGTCCCTACGACTTTATCGCCACGATGGCTGATTTTGCGAATCGCGTTTGACTTTCTTGGTTTTTCATTTTTACATTCGAATAATATTAATATATTATTAACATTCTTTACCAACGCGACGAAATAATATTTGTTTTGGCGGAATATTACATATCAAAGTAGTACATTTACCTTTTGTATTTTTACATATAATCAAATTATTATGTAATTTTCTGTTAGCATTTTTGTATTTTACTTTGAGTTTGCTATGACTCTTTATTGTGTGTGTGTGTGTGTGTATGTGATTTATCTCGTTATATTCTATAATATTTAAAGACGATTTTATCATCACAATTGAGCAGAAAACTTGAACATTTATTTACGGGATACAAAATTTATTTCTGTAAAATAAAATTTCTTTGTGACTAAAATCTGGTTTCCTTCGGTCGCTTCCTGGTTTCCTTCGGAAGAACCAGAAATTCCGTTTTCTTCAGCCAAAACGTATTGGTTCGTTTATTACTAATGAAGTTCATGTTAATAAAATCAACTTTTTTAGTATAGTGTATTTACTTTTTATATAATATTTTATATGTAATTAAGTTATTAATGTTATTATATTATTTCTGTCGGAATTTTTTGTTTTACTTTGAACCTAATATAGTTTTCTACTGTGTATGAGTATGTGTGTAAGATTTATCTCGATATATTCTATAATATCTAAAAATGTCAAAATATCAATAAATGTGTACGATATATTCGTGCAGGTACACGCGAGGCGATCACATAACGGCAAACGACCATTCGCTTGTGAACTGTGCAACAAAACATTCGGCCACGAAATCAGTCTCACGCAGCACAGGGCCGTGCACTCCGCGGAGAAGGTGTTCGAGTGTAAACAGTGCGGTAAGGCTTTCAAGAGATCCAGCACGCTCAGTACCCACCTCCTAATCCACTCGGATACGAGACCGTATCCCTGCCAGTTTTGCGGCAAGCGATTCCACCAGAAGAGCGATATGAAGAAACACACCTATATACATACTGGTGAGTAGCCTATGAATCTCGATTCGAAGAGTGAAACTCCTTTCGGGAAAAGTTTGTTTCTCTCGGTTGACACGATATTTATTTCGTGTTACTAGTAAAAAAATGTCCAAACAAGAAAAAAATTAGACGCCATGGACGAAAATTCAATAAACAGCCACTAGACATGCCACTGTCCGATTTTATCTGTGAGCGATCGCAATGTTAGTTTGTGATATTGATGGGATATTGATCAAAATTTATCTACCAATTACAAACATCGTTGTAAACAGTGTTTTTGTTCTATCGCAACGCGGAACATATCGTTCAAACTGATCGATTGGGAACGTTAAAATTACTTGGATCGAATCCGTTTGGTAGACAATTATCTCAACTTCAGTTAATTCGTCAACTTTCGGACGTTATACGAAAGTCATGCTCGTGATTCCGATGGGTATCGTTATCGCGGGGGACGCGAGGGATCAATTAGTCCGGCAAGTTCGTGCGATAAATAATGCAGCCAACCGTCTGGACCGAGTCCTTGTGAGAGGATCTAGTTGAATACGGCACATGTGGCCAATGCATTTCAGGGATGCTGAGTCCCACATTGCGAGTTTCGCTCGGTAATAATCGTAATGTCCTTCGGGGTGCTTCCCTATTCCCCGTTTCTCTCTCTTGCATTTAGCCTTCTCGTCCTTTGCTCCCACGATTTGGGGTGGTATCATGGCCTCCCCAATCTTGGAATGGAATCTCGCTGTGACGCAACGTGGAGTCTGTGCGGGACACGCGAGTGGGTCATCTTGTCTCGTGAAGGATATTTCAACTATTATACTTGGAAAGGGGGAAGGATCTCCTGGCAAGCATCGAACAGTCCTCGGAAACGTCTGATAGGATTCTCGTTAGGGATGGTCACTTATATGATCGAGAGAACTGACCAGTGTTAGAAATTCTACGATATCTATGATATCTGTTATGGATATTTCCACAAGACAGTTATGTATACCTCCATCAAGACAGAAAGAACCATTTACAACGATATAAGATTATTATTAGTGGCTACGCACAGTCTTCTTATCTCCTTTGTCTCTTTCCGTATCAACGCGATGCGTATTTATCTTCGAGCATCACTGTCGAGCACGTCGAAATCTTACGAGGCACTGGGCAAGAAATTCGGAGCTGGCATGGTCGCGTCGGTGATGTTAGTAGTGGTGGCAGGACACTTGACACTTCGGTGTCTCAGGGTTGATGGAGCAAAGTCCTGAAGGAGCAGGTTCCTCGAGGATGGAGAGAGCAACGAATGGAGAGAAGGCGCCTGCTGGAGGGTTCCAGTCGAGACTCTGGGTTTTGTATCGTCTCCATGGCAACCCCTCCCGATGTCTTATCAAATTATCACCTTGTCCTCCCCCACGCTCTACCCTGCCGTCACTCCTGCTGGCCCTCCTCTCCCCACGACGCTCATCCTACGAGTCCCGAAACGGCGGAAGAAGGACTCAACGAAACGGGATACAAAGCGATGGTCACTTCTGCAGGCTTTTCTAACAACCCGCGGGACCGCCTATGGGTCTCCGTGTTGCACGCGTGTGTCCACCTACACGCACCGTTGCGTTTCACGCGGAGGGTTGTCGTGGAACATTTAATTCATTATTCAGGCGGATGAAAAATTCAGGCGCCGTGAGAGCGTCGACCAATGACGTTCACGGTCCGCTCGCGGCAATTGTGCCGTGAAACGAGGACGAGCCCTTTTTTCCACAGAAATCTTCCGCCCTTGGGAGTTTCCTCTTCCGTGATAAAGGGTGAAGGGCATGCGCTGCACGCACTCTTTGAAGATTTTTTTTTCAACAAGATCGTTTTTCGATATTTTCTTTATATGATTCATCATTTCAATTCGAATCGATCAGTCATCGCGCTTGTATGTGGTCAAAGTTATGAAGGGTATTTAATTTCCCACATTTTTTATTAATGATACACTTTCTCGTGAAAATAATAATAGTACATTATGATAATTTATTAGCTTTAAAAAATTCATTAATTTAAAAAATATTCTACCCCCAAATTTATTGCGAGGAGAAATGAAAATCTAGCTTGTGAAATTTGTTGCTTCTTCCGCAGCGTACACACCTTCGCTGTCTTGTAAAACACGCTCGTGAAATCGATTCGACGTACTATTTTCATTCCCCGCGCGACTTCTCTCTCTCTCTCTCTCTCTCTCTCTCTCTCTCTCTTTCTTTGCTCTCTTTCTTTTTATCATACGCACGAGCAAATCTCGTTGCTCCCACGACCTGGAACGACGTGCCGTCTGCGTGCGTACGTGCGTCAGGCAGCGCCGGGGGTGTTCTGGGACTTCGCTGCTAATGATAATCAGTTCTCTCTCTTTCCAACCCCTCCCCCGTTCGGCCGACGGCCTACGTACCCTACGTACCGAGCGCGGGCCATGTGCAATAAGGGTGCGGCACCGTCGGATTCCCCGGGGAACGGCGTGGCGTAACGTAAAATCATTATTAGGTAGGTAGGTAGGTGGTTGCTGGTGCACACGAGGGGTGGAAAGAGAAACGGGCGGCTCGGGCGAGCGGGGGGTCGAAGCGCCGCTCACGGGGGTTGGGAATAAGAGCTCTGCAAATATTGTTCGTGCGCGAGCCGGCAACCCGGAATAGGCTACGAGGGGTCGGAGCGTTACTTCGCGTTACCTTCGCAGTTAGGCGAACGTTTTCGGGGGTGGCGGTGGCGCGACGGGAGGCGCGACGAGTCAAGTGCACGGTCGTTGCAAGGGGTTGACGAGCGCAGTGACAGACTGGCAAGTGGTCACGAGTCTCTTCGATGAGAAAACACCGGCAGAATGTCTTTGGGAGGGGCGGCGGAATATTTTCAAAGCCTCATGGGGGGTGGCTCGGCGGGCGGTGAGTTTTGATAGCATCGGGCGACGCCGGCCTGATGAATGCGGTGGTGAGAATAGTAGTGGTGGCCTTTTGGTTATATTACATCGAAAAAGTGACCGCCGCAGTTATATTTTTCCAGCTACGCGCTGGCTATTTTTCCGAAGTAATTTTAAATCAATTAGTTCCCCCGATAAAAATACACGTATCAATTAGACGGAAGACATACAATTTACCTGTTGGTCTAAGTTGAATTAATTCGCGCCGAGTGTGTGAATTTTTGGAACCGTGTCATTCTCAGAGCTTCTGAGTCCTGTCGACCTCACCGATTTCCCACACGCTCCGGCGCCGACGTGTGCGCTCACAGAGAGCCACATTATCGATCAAAATCATCGTCCTGTCATTGGGATGATCAACTCGCGGTGTGTACGCGGTCTTATCCACACACGCGTGATCGTACCCATCTTGTTTTCATAATAAACACAACCTGTCCACTGTTGGTATAAAGTAAAGTCGATGGGTCGAAGTACGGGGGAAGGGGAAAGAACGAGTGCATTTTGTGTACTTATCGACCTTTTCATTCGATGGTACTATTTCGGACGAATGTTCAGCGACATGTGAGACTTCTGTCGCGAACAATCTCCCTTGCCGGTAAAATCATGACCGCTTTACTCGAGATTGAGTCATCTTTATATATTATTATCTGGACACGTAGAAAATCGCATCCAGTTGAAATCAATGATTAAGTAACCTTGAACGGTCTGCCTTAAGTCAAGATATTTTTTCGCAATATAATGGTATAGCAACCGGAACGAAAATACGGACTTCATAATATCTCGAATAAAGCTTGCACAATGTATATCGATTACGCTTGCGGTTTTACAGTTTTTAAAGTTGTAGAAAAAGTGATATACGTATTTCAGATGCACGTTACATTAAACAGTATCTATACATGTTATCGCGGAGGAAATTAGAGTCGAAGACTCGTGAAAGACTCCGTAATACGATATCCATTAAAACACTTGCAACGACCGGGACGATTAATTGGAATTGTCGAGGTCGTCCACTACTTTATCGCGCTATGACGTTGGTTGCACGTAAACACAATTGCATCAAAGCTCGGGCGTCTGTCTTTTGTGCATTATGCATTTACTGCTGGCTGTAATCTTTGGCTGATGGCTTAACTTCCACCGCGAAGTTAAGCCGACATGCGCGATTAAAGTGTCTTACGTCCCTATCATTCTATTGTTATTATGGATTTCCAGGATTTTATCGCGCGACTGCTTTCCGCGATATATTAATATCGCTCGGCCTCACGCGGAGAGCTGTCGGATTGTCGCGATATGCCGAATACACATCGGTTTCTTTTTTATCTCAGAAATTCGTATCTCTATACGCGTTACAATGCGATATTCAATTGCGCACTTCTCTCTCTCTCTCTCTCTCTCTCTCTCTCTCTCTTTCTTTCTCTCTCTCTGTATGCATATCTCTCGAAAAATATTGCATAATGACTATTTACATGCGGTGTCGTGACGCACCGAAAGAAAACAATCGGGAAATATTGCTAACGCATTAAAACAGCCGCGTAATTTTCGACAAACATACGCGCCGTTCGTAACACGATTAATAATAACCCGGCCACAGGCACGAGCGCGCCGTCCTCGCCCCCTCGAATTATGAATTCAGTTGCGGCTGCGACGTACGCGGATACCTGGTCGAACGCGTTTCCCTCGAGCCCGCCTCCAGGGTGCGGTTATCGTATACTCGCGGAGATACAACCTGTACGGGCACCTTTGCGGCCGCGTTCATAGTACGCCTGTGGACTCCATCCCCGAGCACATCTCTCTCTCTCTCTTTCTCCCTCTTTCTCCCGCCTCTCTCTCTCTCTCTCTCTCTCTCTCTCTCTTTCTCTTCTCTTCTCTCTGTCTGTCTCTCTCCTTTCCGTGCAGACGGACGGGGCTATTAGAGGTTTCCGGCTGACTTGGCGCCCCAAGCACATCGAGGGCGCCGCAACATCCCTCTAAGCTGTTTAAACTTCGCGACATGGAGGCCGTCTGCCCCCCCCCCCCCCCCCCCCCCCCCCCCCCCCCCCCCCCCCCCCCCCCCC